TCTGACCATGTGGCCCCCAGGTACCCAGGAGATACACACACACACACACACACACCACACACACACACACGGGAGTTCTTGGTCTCTGCCCCACACTCACCAAATCAGAACCTCTGAGGGTGGTTCCATAAATCTGGATTTTTAACAAGGTCCTCAGTGATTCTTATATATTCTAAAGTTTGGGTATTTGGGCTCTAAACTCACTAGTCCAGTTATGGGTCCAGTCATGCTTAGGGTCTAAAATATTGAGGATGAAGACCTAGGAACAAGCTTAACAGGAACACGATATACTTCACCCCACAAAGAGGGGCATTCTGGGGACAAAGAGGGATGCTCAAAGCGCTAATTATTAACTTACCAACTACCTTGAAGGTAGTTGAGAGATATAAATGAAAATCCCCGAGTCTATTTCCAGGAAATCCTTTTATTGAATTTATTGGGGTGCCATTGGTTAATAAAATGCTATAGGTTTCAAGTGTACAGTTCTATAACACATCATCTGTATATTGTATTGTGTGTTCACCACCCCAAGTCAAGTCTCCTTTCATTTATCCCCCTACACCATCTTCTACCTCCCCCCCAAGGCTATCCTTAATAGACTGTGATATAAGGAAGAAATTTCCCAGTCCCGATTCTCTGCGAAGCGCCAGCCACCTGCAGCATTTACATGATGCCAGTTATCTGTTGCCACAGTAACGCTGTGTAACGTACAACCGTAGAACCCCAATGGTGCACAATGAACAGGAGTTTGCTCGGGAGCCTGTGGGTCGGCTGGGCGATTCTGCTGGTCTGAACCGGGCCTGGGGAGGACCCCGTGGGTCAGCAGCCGTCAGCTGCAGGTGGTTGGACTTGGCCGATCTTGGTGGACTTTCCCACATGTCTGGGGCCTTGGCCAGGATACCTGGGGCAGCTCAGCTTGCCCAGCTGGCCGGTCCCCAGCAGGTTAGCCTGGCGCGGCAGGATTCTGAGGAGAGAGTGGAAGCGAGCAGGGGCTCTTCCAGCCCAGGTCTGCAGCTTGAACAATGTCACGGACTGAACCCCTACTCAAGGAAGTGCAGAAACAGACTCGCCTCTGGTTGAGGGAAGTTGTTAAGTTACAGTCCAGAGGATGTCGACGCAGGGAGGACATTAATTGATGCCATTGATGCGAACAATCCACCACATCCATTACCTAACTTTCATTCATTTAGATAAAGTGTAGTTAGAAAGCACGGAGTTCTGAAGGCTCTCATATTGGTCGTGGGCATCAGAGGGTCTGTGTGCACATATGTGGGAAGCGAAGGCCTTGTATGCTAATAGTTTGCTTTACCAAGGCCAGCCTGGTGTATGTCATCAAGGGGATGCGTGAAAGTACGTGGGAAATTATTTCAGGTATTCATAAAACTTCCCCAAGGAGCCATCACAGTTACCTTGCAGACGGTTTCTCTCCTGCCCTGGAATTCTAGTCAGACTCCTGTTATCAAGGGGCACATTCATCCCAGTGGTAAAAAAAAACCCACTGAAAGTGGCTTTCACCTCCTTTCCCAGGTGAATAAATACAAGTGTTTTAGCCTAAACTTTCAGATCCTGCACAGCCTGACCAAGCGACACTTTCCAAATTCACCTCCTAACGTAGTTCCTACACATCCGCACTGACCATTACAGCGGGTCTCTGCTCCCTCTGTCCTCCCTGCCTGAATGTCTTGTTCCTCGGTCTCTGCCAATCCTAACCTCAGATATTCTACAGGTGCCTGTTTACCTATTACTTGCTTTAAAAACCATCATTGATAACAGCAAACATAAGGGCACTACTTTCCTATTTACTTGGCATAGAGGAAAAAGAGAATCTATTAAAGTCAGACAAACCTGAGGACAGTCCACCCACCCACTTGTTTGATTTTAGACGTTGCTTAATTTTGCTAAGCCTGTATTTTTAACTGTCTAATACGGGGATAACACCCACCTGCAGGCTGATTATAATAAAAATAATGTGTTTAAAGCTCCTAATATTGAGAAGGTGCTTGACAAATGATGGCTGGTTTTATGACCCCACTTCACAAGTTACTACCTTATGCTTTCCTGTGTTGGCAGGTGTCACCTATCTTACCGCCTTACGCACACTTCCCCCTTCTTAAGGACAAGGGCTGTGTCTCCTTTCTTATTACTGTCACCTGCATTTTACAGATGAGGCAACAAAGCAACCCCAATATTCAGTGACTTGTTCAAGGTCAGGTAGTTAGCAATGGTGGCGCTTAGATTTGGATTCATTCTAGGCTCTGCTTTCTAACCCCCTGCCCTGGACTGCCTTATCTTGGCCTGGGCTCCCAGGGAAGCAAAGCCCAAGACAAGGCTGATGTGAGGCCCAGGACTGGAGGACAGGGGCCCTGAAACAGGAAAGGAGGGAAGGCTGAAAGCTGGACTGGTACTCAGTTCCACCAGGCCCTGGGAGTCTCCAAATCGCGGTCTGGGGAAATGAAAGAGGGAAGCAGTCACGGTTGTCTCGTTAGTCACTGGTCGTGGGTTAACCATCAACTCCCTGCACTTCTGGTTGCACCCGCTCAGCTTACAGGCAGTTCCCTCTGGCACCCTGCCACAGCACTCAGAGCAGCCCCGGGGCAGGAAACCAGATGAAAGTAGTCCAGGGCCATCGAGGTACTTTCCCACTGTACCTGTGAAAACCTGGCTGCAGCCTTCATGGGACTGGGGGCCACAGCAGCAGGACGGAGGGAGGTGGAGGGGCCACGGTGACTGTGGAGTGGGGTACACGAGGCGTGCACTAACACCTCCGCACATGAAGGTGGAAAGTACTGCAACCCGGAGGGTTCTCCTGAATTTCATCTGATGCAAAGATGAAGGACTTATTTACATTTATTTTGGGAGCAGGCCAGTGCAAGAGGGAGTATTAAGAATTCTTGCCTCAAGTTCCTTCTTAAAGAATTCTATGGAAAGGTTGGGCTCACCTGTGTTTTGAAAGCTGTGAAGTATGTGAAACCACGGGAGAAGAGACATTCTCTGTGGCCGGCTTTCTTCTCAACTCACAGTTGGAAGGTTATGTGCATTAGAAACTGTGACTTTGAACTGGTAACTTCCTCTGCGTAGCAGAGTGGTCCTAAAAATAAAATGCAGCAGTTGCAAGCTTTCCTGAGTCCTCTTTAGCACCAGGCTTAGCCTTGGGAGAAACGGCCAGCCTTTAAATGGGCAGGTACTGATTTAATACACTGATCTGTGCACCTTCCCCTCAGGGACCATTTTCTCAATCAAAGGGCCCATTCAGGACTGGAAGGAAAAAATCAACACTTTAAAACTATAAAAGTTGCAAGTTAGCCAGAGAGGAAAGTTATCGAACTTTTGGTTGGCAGCATGGACTATCCTTTTACTTTTTAATAGAATGTCATGTTGATAGCATGGTCATTTAGATCAGGAAGCAAGACACGTAGGCCCTAGCAGGTTTGGCTCAGTGGTTAGTGTCGGCCTGCAGACTGAAGGGTTCTGGGTTGGTTTCCAGCCCAGGGCACATACTTGGTTGCAGGCTCAGTCCCTGGCCCTGTCGCTGTGAGAGCGGGAGGCAACCAATTGATGTCTCTCATCAATGCTTCTTTCTCTCCCCCCCCAACCCCCCCCCACTTTCTCTGAAAAGCAATGGAAAAAATATCCTTTGGTGAGGATTAAAAAAACCCTGTTATATACATATATGGATAGCTGGGCTGAATTAAGGTAGTGAAATTTAGTGTAAAAGGTGGCATCAGGAAGACTAAGTACAAATGCTTGCCGTGCCTATTCCAGGTGCCAGCTCTTGGGCAAGCCAAGGTCTCTGCCTCGCTTTCCTCATCTGTAACATATCACTTCTTTACTATTTTGGTAACACAAGATAAGAGTGAAATTATTTTGCCCCTTACCAAGATCACAACTGACATTTTAAAAGGTAACAGTAACTATACATTTTGTCCAATTTATACTATTGCAATATTCTACTAAAGCAATATTGAGTAAATGTATGAAATGTCATGAGAAAACTGTCAGGAAGAAATAAGGGGGGAAAAATCACTTAAAATTCTGATGTCATTTATTTTTTTGTATTTTTTAAAAATTTTATTTTTGTTTAAAATATTACAGATGTCCCTTTTTCTCCCCAATGACCCGTTCCACCCCATCCCATCCCCCTCCCCACCATTGTCCGTGTCCTTGGGTTGTGCATATCTACGTATGAATTCTTTGGTTACTCTCTCCCCCTCCATCCACCCACCCTCCTCCATTCGTCAGTCTGATCCACGCTTCCCTGTCATTGAATCTATTCCATTCATCAGTTTATTAAGTTCTTTAGATTTCACATATAAGCGAGATCATGTGATCTGATGTCTTTTAGAATTCATGTCTTAATAATCACGGAGAAACAGACCTGGGAGAGAATGGTACTCCGTGAATATAAATGTGTGTGTGTGTATATGTGTGCATATATATGTATATATCCTTGATATATATATGTAAAGAAGAGCAAATAGTCGGGGTTCAGTTTTGCCAATTTTATTGAACCAATAAAATTCCTACTAATAACAATGAAATAAATTTCTGCAAGTATAAATGTGATACAGTTTAACAAAACCCATTGTTCTGTACCTATAAATAGATTTTCAAAATGTCATAAAAAGTGCAGTTATGAATTGTTAACATGTTAATACACAGTTCCTTTATTTCAAATGTGTTTGTCTTGACTCACTAACAGTTCCTTCTGCATCTGTAAAATAATATTACCCATCCCTCCAAAAAAAAAGGCATTAAAGCACTAGAATATTACACATAAACTGACCCATTCAGGTCAGCTTTAGTCAGAGTTGTAAAATCAGCAACAAAAGAAAAATAAAACCTAGTTATACATACGAAAAGCTTTCATGGGTTCTACAATCTCCTTACCTGCTGACTCATGTGGAGGGCATGGCAGTTGAAAAGGCTTATATGGTTAACTACCTTAGACTACATCTACAGCAGGGTCTGGTTCGCCAGAACACATTTAAAGTGGCTGTTTATCAAGTTTGCTATTCTCAGAAATGAAACTATAAATATAAGACTGCTGTTTGACAATGAAAATTGTGTAAATCCTAAATTGCATCAATGATCTATTTGATAAAAGCTTATTCTAATGGAAAACCTTATATAGTAAGACACTGATACATATAGCAGTCTGAAGATCATCCGCCTCACATTAGTCCAAAGTCACGTGCTTCGTAAAAAAAAAGTAAAAATTACAGTAACAAAGCACAGGACTACAAAGGCAAAACATCACAGCTTCTGATTACATTGAATAAAAAGTACCGAGGAACGCAAAAGATAATTCTGTATTAATACTGATGAATTAAAGAACTATATAGACATTTCACAGCATGCTACATATCGCTCACAACTTAAGGATAAAATGAAGTCTAAAATTGAAAAAGTCAAGAAGTTGGCAATCTGATTTCATGTGCAATTCAGCTACAAAGTCTTAATATATACATTCATCATGTAGCTGCCCTGCAAAATCAGGATTTGTTAAAAAAAAGATTTCAAGTTCAAATCCTGTTTCATGAGCTAAAGGATACATCCAGTTCTTCCATGACCAGAAAAGGTATTTTCAGGTTTGAAGGAGCTAATCCAAGTAGCAAGGCCATGTTCCATGTCGGCCTGACAGGGTCCTTTACCTTGCTCAGACTATGCACGTGGATGTCACTATTCTATTAGCATGAAGACGCCAAACTGGCTTGTGGTTTCCTTTCTATCTTATCCCAGGTTGAAGAGTATAAATGTGAAGAGAAAGAGGGAGGGAAGATTGTATTTTCTTTCCAGGGAAGATAGATGAATGCAAAGGAAATATCTGCATTAGATATGGAGCTTGGATAACTTTCCTTGACGAACAAGGGTACCATTTAACTCTTACCTTTTATTTTAGAGAATCAATAAAATTCGGAAAGGAGAAAACAGCCTCAACATTACAAAGGAAACTATGTGGCTACCTAACTGATATGCTTTCTTTATCCTACCTTTCGATCCTTCCTTATCAGATTTAGAAGCCAGTTGAAAATGCATGAAGACTAATTAAAAGAAGTTTAACCCATTTCATTAAGTGTCATAATGCACATATCTGGAAAACCAGGATTCATACATTCATTTCTAAGAGGTTAAATGGAGGGGTGGAAGAAAATAGGCTGTTCTTGCAAATTTATGTACCAAAAATTATATTTATCATATTTAGATTTTACTGTACGATGTCCTATGAGCTGTAAAATGGGGTGTTTGTTCTAAAGGCTATTTTATAGTATACATTTCATTATTTCAAAAATTTCCACAAGCACTGCAAACAATCAGATGTTCTCCCCCCACAACTTTCCTTTTTTGATTCTGTACTCCATGGTGGTGCAGCCACGATTAATTTAAAGCTAAAACAAATACTTTATGACATATGATTTAATAAAAACCATTCTTTTGGTCTCCATTATTGCCTCATTTCTTAACTAGGCATTGATTCATTCCTGGGCCCTTGAAGGCATTTACTAGACTCCGCTGTCAGTTGGGTTGTTCATGAATGGGAGTGGAAGGCATCCAGATACCACCACTGATCATAATAACCGATACTTTCAAACAGGTGGTTCATTGCTCTTCAGGTCAGACAACCATCTATGGACAAACATGCCCGTTAGAAACCTGTCCAGCTGTCCTCTGAACTACGCCGAGTACACACCGCTGGGGAGGAAGAGCTGCTGCCGCCTCCTCCTCCACGCATTTCCTGCCTGGATGCACCACATGAATCAAGATGACAAAGTCCATGCATTCCCTTTCCATCCCACAGGCCGACCCCCCACGAGAACAGGGTAGGCCAGGGGCGCGAGAAGCGTTAATCTAACCCAGGAAAGCTTGAGCAAGCTCTTACGTAGCCAATTTTGTGGTATTTTAAACATATTATAATCAAATGGGCTTCTGTCATCCAATAGAACCAACTAAACACCCTTGATCATATGTCCTTCTATCAGAAATGTGTTTCAAGGCCCAAATACCACCAAATAAAATATCTGAAACACCACCCATTTGTATGCCAGAAATTCCCTGTACCACTGAAGGATTACAGATGAGTCTGGACTGCTGGGGAATTTTAACTTTACATTCAGTAACTTGGACTAATACTAATACCAGTATTTATTACCTAATACAGATCCAGGTTAGAATGGCAATTCGATCACTTTAAAATCCTGTTAGGTGCTAAATTCTGCATGGTAGAAATAGTTCAATTTCTGTATCATGTACAAATATAAAGATTCCTACTTTGTTAGAAGGCAAAAATCTTCTATGACTTATTTAAAACATGGAAGTAGTATTACTTGAACAGAGAGTGAATCCATGCAAAGGTTGGATACTCTGAATTTATAGGCTCTTCGGGGATGAGGTAGAGGAGAGCAAGACATTTTGGCAGCTGGGAAAGGGAGGACGGTCTGGGGTGGACAGGGTTACACTGGGTGCTACAAAACATCTGGAAGGGCATCTAGGGCAAAGGTTAGTCAAAACATAGCTGGATGGTAGGGGGATTTGGAGGGAGTCGGGGCAAAGTCATATTCCTAATGAATGGAGAAAAAGTGACTCAGAAAGTAAATGCTGGTGACTGTCGGCAGGTGGCTGGTGATGCTGGAGTGTGAAAGGCAATCAGATCAAGACGGGCTGAGGGGAGGGGAGGCTGAGGCACTTGGAGGAAGAGAAAGCAGGTGGGAAGGGTGGATCGGGTGCAAGCAGGAGCTCCCGCGACGGGAAATGTTCCTCTATATTAAGTGTATGACGCTGAGGACAGCCACGCTTTCAGAATTACGTTTCATGTGTTCTCTGAAAAGCTTTTCCTTCCTCACCAGGCTCTGCCTTCACAGGCACCTCTAGCTCTGTGACCCTCTCGCCCCTGCTATTTTTGTTCTAGGTCTCACCTGAGCAGACACTGCTAACGGAGCCACATTAGATTGGAAACAAGCTCTGCATACAGGGGGCATCTAAGTTCTGTTGACTGAGATGAATACATTCAGGTTACAGTACTGCTTTGAGGAAAGACTACTTATTTTGATTCTCAGTCTTCAGATGGATATGATAGGGAAATGTAGTTTATGACGACGGCCACCTAGACTAGGTTGTATGCAGATTAGCTAACTTAAAACTTGATCTGAACAGTATAGCCATATGTCTTTCAGTTTGCTGTTGAATTATACTAAGAAAATTTCATATACTATTTATATAACATTATGGTTGCATAAGTTTACTCCATGCAAGACCATCTATTTGCATAAAAGAAGAAACAGTCCTTAGATGAAGAGTTTACGATCTTGCTTTCCAGAGAAATGATTTAGAATTGTCTTTAAATACAACATAAAACAAAACAAAAACCTCATTTTACTAGGTCAGTGCAGATCATTTTTGTAACATGCACTGACATTTATTTTCTTCCCTGATGAATTGTCCTTAGAGTTTAAAAGAATGTTACCGTCATATACGCATGCACTCTGCACTAAAGTGGTGAACTATTTTTAAGTACAGATCTTTGTTTGCTGATAACTGTATTTTGCTGCGGTATAAAAATCTAAGATTTTGGATTAAAAAAACTCTGTAAGGTGGAAAAGGAAAAAGTTGCTCTGGAATAATGTTAATTAGCTTTTAGAAGCATTGAAAAATTTTAGGAGATTGTAACACAATTAAAACAGGGGTTCTGGTTCAAATAGGATTTTGATCTAAAGCTTACATTGAGTTCTCTGTTCTAAAACAGCCCTGTGAAGCTTGGCCATTACTTGGGTTTAAAGCCACAATGGAAGGCCAAGGCCATGCCCCAGATTCTACATTAGCCATCTTTTATTCTAAAAGTACCCTAATCGGGACAAAGATTCTTCCCAAGACTAAGACAATATACTTAGTTCAAAAGGTGAGGAAGGTATTAAGTAGTCCCATCTCAAAAGCCTCTTTTCCTCTAAATATCATGAGTCCACCTGAGGAGGCCTAATCTGAAGGATCCAAGGAGGCAGCCACCAGGCCACTCCCACAGTCAAGGGATCAGGTTAAAGAACAGACTCACTTTCAGATGAGAGAGTGTTTAGGTATTTCTTAAGGTGATCTGAGAAATGAAGAATTACAACGGAAGCTGGAAAACTTGAAATTCAAAGGTCAATAGACGTCAGTGGATGACTAGACTAATTTTAACATAAGCTACGAAGGTAGATAATTCACATTCGCATGTGCTTTTTTCACGTACACTTGCACATTTAGGTTTGGCACGATGTGAGCCCACGGTGTAGGTTAGCGTCTTGTATAACCACATCATTTCACCAATTGAACCAGATAGCTCTTTAAAAAATATCACACTTTAATATAAAAAGCTATACTATAAATTACTACATAGTAAATTCAATACTCTGAAAAAATACCACCCTGGAAAACCGCATCAGAATTTCAAGTTTGCATTATATAAAGTCCACAGCAAACTCGGTGTAAAATGGTATCCACAACCTGGAATGCTGTGCATGCCGCGTCTGAGTGGGCGCTTAATTCAGCACCTTCAGAAGCCACCTTTTCTAGGCTGGTTCACTGAGGTTCATAAATAGATTGTTTTGTTTTTGTTTATAGTTCCAAGCCAACTTATTTTCCTGATTACTGATGAGATAGATCAATGCTGAGCTGAAAAGAAACTTTGCTAGGAAAGAGATCTAGTAAAGGCACTAATATTTCCGTAACCCAAACTCCAACTACTTACATTTCTGGGGGGAAAAAACTAAAACAAAACAAAAACGAAGTGGCCATTTTAGTTACTTAAACCTTGTTTCCCCTTTTGGTCTAAAGCTTACATGGTGTTCTGTGAGAATTTCTCCTCCTTCTCAATATACAAAAATCATTTTCATCCTGTAATAGAGGTCACCTGCACAAACATAGGGCTATTGACTGAAAGAATTCTATTACGAAAACAAATGTCAGGAATAAAAGATATCCTCAACTTGAAAGCTCAAAAGTTCGGGAAGTTAAATGGACATTGATGTTGTCATCTAGGTTTTGCCATTCTCCCACATACCTTCTTTGAAATACAGATCTCTATGAAACCAGCATATGCTATAAACAAAACAGAAGAAACCTGGCACAAGTTCTTTGAGTAATCTCTTTAAATAAACCACCCTAGTCTTTAAAAAATTAGCAATTTTTTCCTCACATGGAAGTTTTCAAAGAAGATCCTGGAATCCAAAAATGCAGAACTACCTTATGTTAATAGGCTTACAGTCATCTTTCTATTTTCTCATCTGGAACAAAATCTAAAAGACAGCAACCTACAGTATTATACCAGAAAAGGATGATAAATGGAAGGGGGGAAATGATTTAACAAAACACTAGTCCACTATTCTTTCATGAGAGATAAAAAAAAGTAAGTCCTATATAATAAGTAAATCTAAAATGAAATCTTTGTGGGAACTCTAACAACAAATTTTAACTATAATATTTACTACGAAAAAAGTGGATCTGTTTTAAAAAAATTAGCATGTGGTGTACAATTCAAGTCACCATTCATTAACCAAAAAGTGTTGAAGCCGTGCAGTCGTGTCCTACGGATAGTTGTAAGCATCTCTTTAGGCACTTCGCTGGTTCAGTAACGTAACACAAATTAAAGCTATAAACACATAATGTTGTGCTCTGTGAAGATAGTCTAATCAAGCAACATAAACCAATGCAAAAATGTGACTTTTTGGATGCTTATGTTCCTCCCCTAAGACTGGATCATCTTTTTTAACCAGTCGTCCAAAGAGATTTTTCTGGGGAAGGGGATGCTTTGGCATTACGAAAGGAACACTATTCAACCCCAGTAAGGCGAAAGCCTTGTGCAATAAAGAAATCTGAACCAAATTTCTTTATGGCTCTGTCTTAAAGGACACTTCTGCAGTGACACCATAGGGGGAAAGTTTAGCTGAGTATTTTTTTAAACATATTGCACTCTTTTTTTGTTGTTGTTCATTCACATTAATGCATAGAAACACAATTTTTACCTTTGAATAATAAACCGTTTAACTTATTATAAGAAAAATCATGGAAAATAAGTTCTAAAGGCCTAACAGGAAAAAATATAGGTATAGTAACCTTCTTCTGCTTACTGCAATATAGAAATCACTATGAGAAAAGAAAACTGTGCAAAGAAAGTTTTTGGTCAGCCTTGTGTGGGTGCAAGTTTGTATGTGCCAACTAAATGAACTGGAATAAGCAGCACTGTGAGCACTGGTTACTGAAGATGACTGAGGATTACTGTCAGTGATAGAAAGGATTGTGCATAATTCCACTTTTTATATATACATCTGACATGGAAAACTGAAACTCCTGTTTCAGACGAGAAAGAAAATAGCTGAATTTGGCATTTCAGTAGCATGCTATAGAATTCATCATGATTATTTTCACATTAAATTATGGACAATGGCTGTATCACATTTCACGTTATCGCCAATAGCAGTAAAAAAACCAAAAACAAACAAACAAAAAAAACCAAACAGTGCCTGACAAATAATCTCCTGGGGACACAGGGTATGTCCTGTGAGCAGCTTAGTTCAACAGCGCATGCTTTTCCTCTACCGGATTTGGGACACACCATGAAAAGTGGAGAACGGCCAGAGGAGGTTATTCTTTGCTGAATTCCAATATCTGAATAAACAATTGCTTGAGCAGATTATAAGCACTTTTCCTTATTTAACAACCAAAAAAAAAAAAAGGTGGGGAAAGAAATACACATACACACAAACCCCAAAGCGCTGAAGTTAAGCATTACCAAACCAGGGTCATGATTTATGATCAGTTTCCAAAAATCTGACTATAAACAATGCAAAGTAGTGCTCCTCAGTATTATTTTTGCAATTGTTAGTAATGTTAAGCATCAAGAAAAAGAAAACACATCATTGCACATTACAGCCGCCCCCAAAAAACGGCTAAACTTTGACACAGAGAATTGAATAATTGTTGATGCTACATCACAAACAGCTTCTGATGTATATCTTATGTGAAAAGGTCTTTACACATATGACACTTTCCCTGGGTGAGGCTTCAGGTCAAATGCCGAGTTATGGCACGAAGAGCATACAGGAGTTCAGCTTGCATCCGTGCTTCCATTAACAGTAAATTGACGTGAACCTGGAAGTGAAAATGTTATCAATTTAATTATAAACAACTGAAAAAACTTTAAATGTTTTTCCTATAGCAGACGTTCCCAAAGGTTTTTCTTATGCATAAAGACACAAGTACAAACCTACATGCCTGGGCACTGTTATGCATGTACATGTAACAGAAGAAAACATTATAAAAAACAGTTCTTGTAAGTGATAAAGATGACCCCTAAAGTCTTAACAATTCCAATAATTTTGTTAGAATATATATTATATAAAGCCAATCAATCTTTTGGGTTGTAAATAAAATTAACCTTTATAAATTACAACTTTTCTACAAATTATACCTTCTTCCAGTTGTAAAACTGTATATGGCTAAAAAAAAATCAGCCCTACATTTCTTATCGCATATGCTTATTCATTGGAAAGCTTTTAAAAACCTTTTTTACTATTTACTCGAAAGGGTACTAAAATGAACATCTGCTTTTAGCAGTTTGTAATTAATCTCTGGTGCTCATTAATATGCATAGCCTCCCTAGAGTCCTTTAGAAATAGCTGCAAACAAGCACCTGACTTTTGGGGGGGATACTACTTCTTATCTGACAGGTTAAAATGAATACTCATGTAGTCCCAAAATGTATTACAAAAAAATGACATATTTAAATTATTTTGGTAACTTTCTATAGGTGGGACATATTGTTAGATACAGTTTTTTGATAAGTGAAGAGAATTTCTAGATGTAACCTAGTAAAGGGAGAAAATCTGCAAACATAAACAGGGCCTAAAGATGCGTCAAGGAGAGATGCTGGAGATACAATGGATATTTATCAGGTGTGTGATTGGTTCTAAGACTTCAAAAAAATCTGTTAAGTATTGAGGCCATAACATTCTCTGTCAAGGTCATACAGTTATTTTGTCACTATTAGGACCCTAAAAGATTTTTTTTACTCTCAAGCTTGGGAACAGTGGGATAAATAGAAGCTTCTTGGACTTAAAGGTCAAAAGACCTCAGGTTTAAGGTCAGTTCTTATACTATAATGTTAGTCAAGATCCTCAGTACCTATTAATTCTTGAATAATGATTCCTCTATATCCAAAGAAATATTTTTATATAATAATATATTTGACTCAAAGGTCCTGCATTATATTTTTAACATACTAAATTACCAAATTGGAATGAAAAACTATTGTTTTAATAGGTTAATTCTAAAGACTACAGTTAAAAAGAAATCTCTATATGCCTTTAGGGCCATGACATAATTACACTTAACACAATATCTCAGTAGGTTTGACTTTTATTGTTAGAATGATGGACAGTTTTCCAAATGTACTTTAAAAATGTATCTATATTCAGATCTAATTTTTCAAAGGCCAATGCTAAACTTTTACTTTATATACCACATAAACAAAACACATAACCAAAATTTAGTTAATAGTCAATAAACCTGAATTTAACAACTTTAAGATAAAAAGATGGCTAGATAACACCACTTTCATTTCTTTAATGGCACTCATTTATTAATATTTTTATGCATAATTTTTCATAATCATTACTTCTTATATTGAACATCTATCTGTGATATAGTGTTTAGTCATGAAACACACCTTTTCTGAGTGTTTGAACTGACGCCAGTAACTATCATACATGCGCTTGGTAGTTCTCTCAGGATAGCAGGTCACTGTCTTAATGTAAACCTTCAGGCTTCGTTCAAGTAATTGGTTAACTTCTCCGTAATCATAATCATCATACCTATGAGCAATGACAACAGCTTTTTATAAAGACAAAAATCACAATTTCTGATTTCTAAAGTTGTACCAGAGACATTTATTGTCCAATAATTAAAAACCAAAGGCTAATCAATTAATTCATCTAAAAAATATTTATTGAGTGTCTATTATGTACCATGTACTTTCCATATACTCTTCTAGGCACTGGTGATACACAAATGAACAAAATAGACAAAAATCCCTGGTCTCACGGAATTTAAATTCTATTGGAGAGAAAAAGAAAAATTAAAAATATAAACATAGTACATCAGATGGTGATAACTGGGATGGAGATAGAATGAAACTGGGGGCTAGAAGAGGGGCTGTGATTTTAGATGGGATGGGCAGAAAGGCCTCTCTGAGAGGGTGATGTCTGAGCAAATACCAGAAAGAGCAAGTGCAAAGCCCTAAGTAGGAGTCAAGTGTTTCAAGGAGGAAGGAGTAATCAACTGTGTCCAGTGCTACTGACTGAAATAAGATAACTGGAAACTGACCACCGGAAGCAGTTATATAGAGGTCACTGGCAACCTCAGTAAGAGCCGTTTTGTTAGTGAGGGAGGAGTAAAAACCTGATCTGGTAGTGGGTTCAAAAGAGAATGAGATATGAGAAAATGGTGAGAGTAAATATAGAAAATTTTTTCAAAGAGATTTGCTGTGCACAGGAGCAGAAAAATGAGGCAATAGCTGAGGGAAAGCAGGATGAAGAAAAAAAAATGTTAAAAGATGAGAGAAATTATAGCATGTTTATATACAAATGGGAAAGATCCAATAAAGGGAGTAAAGGTGAACATGCAGGATCTTTAGAAGAGAGGAGATGGGACTCTGTGTCAAGTGCACAGGATCATAGACAGTTCATCCACAATAAGAGAAAGGAGCCACAGGGAATAGGCACAGAGGCAGACTAAAGGGTAAATACAGTAGTGGGGTTTTGTAAAATTTCTGGTCTGTATTTTCAGTTAATTTTTAACCCAAACATAACACTGAAAAAACAGTATCTAGAGGATTTTATATAAGTTTTATTTAGTAGCATCCCATAGATAAATATAATCACCATAACATTTGTTATTTATTGTCATGAATACAATAAACATTTATCACAACTGAATTAATTCTATTGGTGTTTCTTTTTCTTATAGGTATAATATCTGCTTTAAAATGTGATGATTCTGTGTAACTTACTGTCTAGGACAGTAAATGGGTAGAGAGCAGTTATTATTTACCAATGTAATAGTGTCTTTTAGGTAGAATGTTGATTTTTCAGGAAATTTGTTTTTTTAGTTGAAATTATAGAAAATACTTTCCTTAACAAATTAAATTACAATTCCATTTGAAAAAGGCTTAAATTGAATGCATTTATAACAGGATTTTCTCTTTCTGCAAATTTATCTTCACAAAAACCTTCACAATCAGCTCAAAAAGGCATATTCTCAAAAAAAAAACCCAAAACCAAACAAACGAAAATGTTTTCTGATTAGACCATTTTCATTTACTTATTGTCCTCTCAATGCAAATTTTTAAAATTTAGAGGCTATTAATTTACACTGATAGTTTTATTTCAGTGTAGTTGTGTGAACTTATGCAAGCTTTATGAGGGCAGAGTCTATCTTCGTTTTATTTGTACCCAAATTTCCATTCCTTCAAAACTAACCAAGCAACCAACCAACAAACCAACCAACCAACCAGCATTTATTAGTGATCTAAAGGAATACAATGTATGGTTTTTAAGCGCTAATTCTTCCAGGAAGGATTCTCAGACCGAGCCTGATTTTATCCTATCTCCAATGATTCCTGATACTTTTTTCCCTCATTAATAAATTGTTAGTACTGTATTTACATATGCGTGTTAATATTCACAACAGTTAACCATAGAAAAAAGCCCTTCTATAAAATGGAGTTAATTGTTTAAAACCAGAAGTCCACATGTAGTATTTCCTCCCAGGAACTATATACCCCTAAACAGGATAGAAGTAAGAGTCGTGCCAGAATTTTCTTTTAGAAATTTATAAAACGGTCTCCACAGTGAGCATACCTGATTCCAAACATACAGTGAACATAGTTAAATAAAGCTCTGCGCAGCATGGTTGTGTCAACATCCTCGTGGGTGGCCATAGTGTTATAGGTGAGACTGTAGACCATGCGAAACTTTTCATCAAGAAGATGTCCAATGTCAGAATAAAGTCTATTCACCAGGGAGAACCCATGATTTTCCCAGGTATAGTCCTAAAAGAATAAAAATGTATACAATTACAAACTAGGCATTCTTCATTGACATAAATTCTAGGTTTTTATTAATTATAACTATTTAAGCAAGTAAGTGAAGATATTTCAAATTTATTTCATCAGCCTGTAGACTGGAGTGCTATGTTATTTCCTCAGTGTGGTCCAGGGTTTAGCAGTCGGTGATAAACTGGCTACTTCCTGTGGTGAAGTACTATGCAAACTACCCCCTTATCTGAAAGGACCCCAGACAATCTTAACCCATTCCTGTGATCAAGCCTATTCAGTGACATGGATAGTTAGCAGATCATCTGAAATGGGTGCAAAGGAATTCAAATTTACACTCTCTTTAGGGGTCACATCACTATTGTGGCTATGTTTTCCTAGGGGTGCGGAGGGGATAGCTGTTAAGCCATCAGCTACTGGTTTGTGATTTTATTAAAAAATGTCTTATTATAAATGTGATACATCATTTGGTTTCTTCTCTGTTATGCTCTCCCCCCTAAAATGGTATGCATATTCTACAACTACAATGCGATAATGCAAGTAACTGAATAAAGCAGTTTCCTCTTGTCTTCTTAATGGGGAAAATGTTGAAATAATAATCCATCTATTGGGACATCAAATTAGGCTAGGCTGAAAACTAGATTAAATAAGGAAAGATTTATAGACTCTATCAAAATGACCAATAATTTCTTTAGAAGTCAATTTATTTACATTTTAACACTTCACAGTTAAAATAACAGTATTTATTCCCTAGTTTCTCTGAAATAAAGACATCTCATACCTGAGCTCGGAATGTTGGCAAATGCTCCTCTCCTCGTCTGGCAAAGTCTTCATACCCAAAACCTGGGTCTTCAATATACCGAGAGACATCAGCTGTTATAATCATGTCATCCTCAAAATCTAAGAGCAATAACAAACAATGTAGTGTTAAGGAAACTGTACATAGAACAATGAAACATCCCCATTTTCCTCCACTTTTTAGCTTTTGGATTTCCAAAGTGAAAATATTGACAACCTGGCTTAAATTCATATAAAATATCTACTGCTGAAGTTTTGAATACAATTTCATTACCAAATACTGGCCATCTTAACATTTAGCTATAGTTACTCAGTCAAAAAATTGACTAAATTGAAATACCTAAATAGTAGTAGCTCATTTAGAAAGAGGGAAGATAGCATAGGCCTTTGAATAAAGCTTAAACTTTTGATTTCTCTGGGGATGATGTGGGGAAAGAGAACAGATGAAGGTAAAGACCACTTTAACTGAACTGAATGTTAAGATAGATTTTGTTAAAATTAGATAGATGGTCTTTCATCTGGATGTATTTACAGGGAAAATTCGTTCATTTTTAGTTTACCAAGAGGCATATAGGGAGAAGGGCTGTGATGGGAAAACAACAGGGAGGAAGGGGACTTTCGAGAGCCACTATTATTCTTAGCTGACTTGCTGCTAGTTAAGCAGGAAGGGCCTGTTTGTGAAAATTCACTGAGTTCTACACCTAAGATATGTACGCATTTCTGTGCACATGAAAATAAAAGGTATACAACATATGGAGTAAACAATGTGCTAATGAGATTGAAAATGGAATGCTAACAAAGTGGTATTAAGGAAGGAAGACTACAATAATATCTTAAGACACCTAACTTCTGCATATTTGATAATAATAAAAATTTGCCACAGAGAAATTATAAAAACCTAATGCATGTTAATTTGGTATAAAGATAATTCTCTTTTAACTCACTTTTTAAGGTTAGTTTTTACAATTACTTTTTCCTGATTTAAATCACTAAAAGGGAATGATCAACCTGTATTTACTACTTTCTGTTCTCAAAAATAAACATACATTTTCAAAATAAATGAAAAAAACTAGCTCTTTCCACTCAAAGAACAGTATTTTCTTAGTATTTTAATTAATATTAAATACATTCAATATTTAATAAATATTATATAATGTTAATAAACCAAATTTATGGTATAATAAAAAACTATAATTCTTAACTGGACAGTGTTGATAGGCTTAATAAACAAGTGCAATTATAGTAATTCACCCAAAAGACCTGGTAAACTAGTAGTACCTTCATTAACTTTCATCTTTGCTATTTCATGTAAAGCCTTGCAATAAGTATTCTTTTCTCACAAGTTTTGACCTTTCCTTGGGACACTAGCATGCACTAACTGGAGTGCTTGATAATGGCAAGAAAGATCAGGTGCCCAGGCTACCCAACTTAGGAAACATTTGATTAAAATTCTTACCTAACTTCCTTATTACACAAAACGAGACTGGCATTTGTTGAGTACTTATTACATACCAGGTACTGTGCTATGTACAATGTGGATTAGTTTAAGATGATATAGAAACTTGTAAACATTGAACTACTGAAATTGGTCTGAAGCTCTGAAATGACCTTCGGCTCTCTAAAAGAGAAATCTCAGGCTCTCCCAGCCTACCCCCAGCCACTCTACTGTCTCCTGATGCTCTAGCCCTCTTTTCGGGGTAAACAGAAACACTTTATAAATGGTGTTTTCACTGCATTGTCTTAACATTTACCAATGAGGTTATGGTTGGCTTAATTCAGTCCATCACATAATAATCAGTAGAAATGAAGCAAAAAAATGAAAAATGCAATTGCTGAGGCCACTATGGAAGCTATGAATTTTGTGGAATGCAAAGTAAAATTAAACCAAGCACAGCGAGTGATAATTCAACTCTGTAAAATAGTTTTTCTCTTGAAGTGATTCCCCCCCCCTCCCCCACTGTACAACCTGGTAGAGTTGACTATTACTTAGCTGGTTCCTTTGACTTTGATGTTAGTTTTTGTTTTGCTCATACACATTTTCATGTTGACTTTTAAGCATCTTTAAACAATAGAGAGTAACTAACCAAATAAGATAAAAATTTATTCTACTAATACTATCCATTCATTCATTTTTAAATTAGGAGTCAAATGAGACATGTTTTCTAGGCAATTTTGTCTAAAGAAATGTACAAAGATCTCTCAAACCACACATACCTTTTTCTTAAATTTATCTTAAGAAGTTAATGTTTTAAAAAAAATTAAAATTAGTACTCTGATCAACAAATCTAAAGCTCTCATTTAAATTCTACCTAAACAAAAATATTTCAGTCTGAACTGAAAGGAAATAGTATTTTGCACATTCTGCACTCTTCTGCCCCTAAGAAGTAACTATTAACAAAATACGGAAAATGTTATGTTACAGTAATGAAACACCTTTCTAACTTGAAAAACACACACACAATAAAAGCTAGTTAACTCTGTTACCAAGCTACAGAATACACCCCTGTATAACACTTTAAATATTTATTTTCTTCAAAAGACTGGAAAAACTATTCTTAGAATCTCCACATGGAATCTGGAATGCTTTATCACACTGGTCAAATCAAAAGATTTATTATTATTTTTTAACCAAGAAATTTTTTATAGAAAAAATAAATGTCTATTTCCATTTTAAAACATGGTAAGTTTATAAAAATGACTCAATTAGCCAGTGCATGAAGTCATTTTTTTATGTTATCTTTGTGTGACCAGCAAATTTAGTACTGGGAATGTTTAAGAGTAAATAATGAAATGATTTATTTCCTTGAATGATTTACAAATGATACAGCCTCTTCTGTTAAAATTAGAACAAAATTTCTGGCTAGGGGCTAAGACTTGCTAGTCAAAAATGCACTTTAGAAGGCAGTAAGTAGTTCCTGCTCAAGGGTCCAGGAGAGAGAGAGAGAGAGGGAGAGAGAGAGAGAGAGAGAGAGAGAGAGAGAGAGAGAGAGGGAGGGAGACATCGATATGAGAAACACTGATCAGTTGCCTCCACATGTTCCTTGACTGGGGATTGAACTCACAACCTTTTGGTGTACGGGACTATGCTCCAACTGAGCCACCCAGCCAAGGCCCTAGGCTTATTATTTTTCTTTGTCCCATTTGTTCTCCCTGGCTGATTTTATAATCAACTCTTTTGATTTTAACCCCTAATTATATGCTGAAAACTTCCAAAACTTTATCTTGAACTTAAAGCCCTCTCCTGATCTTAAGGCTACAACTCCGAGTGTGGTGTGCAGACCAGCAGCATTTGTATCACTTGAGACTATGATGAAGTGTAGCCTACCTGGTCCCAGCCCAGACTGACTGAATCAGAATCTGCATTCCAGCCAGATTCCACCAAGGGACTCACACCCACAGTAAAGTTGAGAAGTGCTGTACTAGACATCTCCAGACTGGATGTTTTATAGACATACCAACTCCAAATGTCTAAACTATGGCAGCGTACATGTTCCTTACGGTTAGAAAGATCAGATCATCACGATAAGACCCCTGCCTACCTAGTCAGCTTCCTTGTCACATTATCTACCCTCATGATTTATGTCCTAACAGCACGGCCATTTGTTCCTGAAGCAAGCATCCTGTTTCCTTACCACCGTGCCTTGGCTCAGGCTTAGGTGCTGTTTACCACCAATTCCCATCCCCCAGCCACTGCCTGACATCCCTGCACTCAAGATTCTAAGACTTAGCTTAGAGCCAAATGGTTGGAGAAAGTTATCCTCTAGGAACCTTTCTGCCCACACTTCTCCCCCACCAAGACTGGGTTCAGGGTCCTCTTCTAGGCTCATATGCCTTTCACATTCTACTATGTATTGTAATTATTAATTTCCTTCCCACTAGCAATGACAGCTCCCAGGAAGCAGTAATCCTGTCTCATTCAGGCTGAAAATCTACCTACCACAGTGTTGAGACTCTACGTCTATGGGGTACTCAAAAAATATTTGTAGAATATTAAGTAACTAAACCACCAGGTTTCCCTTTTGGGGGATTTCTTACTGACTAGAAGCTCTGAGAAACTCAATATACTTGAGTAAGTAATATACTCAATTTTGTAGATAAAATCTTTCATTAAAAAAAGATCATCATGGGAAATGATAAAAGGGAATCTTGCTTTTCCTGGTAAAATTTCTGCGAGCTATTGGTTGATGCTATGTTTAAAGTTAACAAACAGGTGTGGTCAAATCAATTACTCTCAGATTTATGAGAGTAACCAGTCTTTAGACTAGTCATTTTGAAGCCTCCTTTTAAGCCAAAATGGAACTCCATTTTAAAAATAAATGTTATGTAGATTGATGACTTTGAAGGGTTTAAGCTTTCTATTGCATCTATGCTATTTTAGTAACATTTATTATGTGGTGTTCAATATCTTTCTTAGTCACAATTGAAAAGTTTCCCTCCTATTTCAAAGTCTCTTAGAATCTTAGATAAAAAAGTATTTTTAAAACTACAGCAAAGAAGCCTAACTTTAAACATGAAATAAATTCCTCCAAATTCAATCTAAGAAAATGACCCAAATAATACATTTTTATAAAATTCCAAAGATTTCTCCAAAGAAATGCAAATGCAAATACAATGTAATTTTAGGACTAACCTGGAAAAGCAGCAGTGTGAGAAGAATCCTCCTACACACTCCCTGCCCACGAAAATGGCAAAGATATTTTTTAAAAATTATATCTATTTGAACTAGAATTTCACTTATCTTTAAAGAAAAAAAATCACAAAAGTAGGATGAATTAAATATTTCTATCTAACTTTATAAGTAACTGGTCTGCTTTGAATAACATTTTCTCCAGGATAGAGTATGGAGTAGAGTTGGAAGTTCCTCCCAACTGGGTGTGAAATGTATTCAAAGATGCTCCAACCTAAGAGAGGAAGCAATGGTGTCAGGTGTACCATCCACAACGCAGAAGACAACGAACCAAAGGACCGTAGTAGCAGAATCATTTTTACATATCCACATGGGGAACACTCAAGGTGGTCTGTCAGGGTTCCAAGAACAACTAAAAGACAGTGAAAAAAAGGCACCTGAATGAGGAAACGAGTGAAAGGTATCTCCAGAGACAACGAACAGACTTTCCTTCTTCTCCTTCTCAAAGCGAGTGGTCATTTCTTCCTGAGATGCGTCTTCATCGTCTCTTTCTTCTTGAAGCCTTTTCATCCTTTCCATTAAGGCCTCCAGCTCGCTTAGAGAGCCTACAATCTAGAACCAGGCAAGATAACGATTGTGTTATGGAAATTAGAAATGGTTCCAGTAAACGTCTCCACCTCCCAACGTCACCTTACTGGATACAGTGGCATCAGTACTATTATTAAGTTCCTAAGTGGGTTTTCGACTGACTCCAAAGAAAATCATATCACAGATTCAAACGTTTTCAGAAGTTTGATGTTTTTGCCTCAGCTATAAAAATAGAAAATTTATAAATATAGATATATTTAATCTAGAATTCTAGCATTTGGTATATATTATGGGTTTTTTTTAATGAGGCAACTTCAAATTTTTAAATTTTTCTGTCATAAGATATATTTTCTATTGGTCATTACAGACCAAAGATAAACTGTTCTAGGATCTATTGTTCAAAGGGTCTAACGTGAAAAGCCTAGGATCACTGGAATGAACCACTGTTTTAGTCTTTATGATCTGTCATAATATCTATCCGCTTTAAAAGCCTCTTTGAGATAATTCAGAACTTCAGGTACAGGTTAAATTTTTATAGTAACAAAAATTATGCTAAAATATTTCAAGTATATATATCCTGTTTAATCAGAGAATAAATTCTCTCTTGATACGTTTAATGTTAGGAAGTGTAAAGGCAAAACAGTAAAGAGGGTTAAGAAAACTGACCCCAAAGTTGTTGCCTGTAAGGGTTGCATTCTCTATGTTGTTGTCATTAGCGAGGTCACAAACGCAGAAATTGTTGACTGATATTAGCCTGAACCCATTGGAGATTTCTGGATCTCTCTCTGGATTGATGCCACTACCAAAAACAAAGCTTGCCAAAGCATGATAATGTGCCAGTAGGACCACAGCATGTACCAGTTCAGGCAGAGACCAATTATTTTCTCCAGTTTTGACAAGTTTCTGAAATTGGAAAGCAAATCAAAGTAAAAATAAAAATCATAGAATGCTTCAAAGCAATTTTAGAAAGCATGGAAAATCTATCAAATTTCATATATGTTCATTTACAGTAATAAAACTTAAAACTCTCTTCTAAAAATGTTTCATATGTTAAAGGTATGGCTTTGGTCAAACAATATTACATTAAAACTATCAAACCTAACAATAAAATTTTGTTGTGGCTTCTTCTAAATTCATATATATATGTGTGTGTGTGTGTGTGTGTGTGTGTGTGTATACATATATATATATACACACACATATATGAACTTCTGCTTCCAAAGCACTCTCCATATTATGTTATTTTAATAAGATATTTCAGAGAATCAAAGAACATTATATCTAGAAGGGGCTTTAAAGATTACCTAGCACAACCATTCATTTTAAAGTTTTAAGGTAGAGCCCAGCCAGGTGTGGCTCAGCGGTTGAGCATCGACCTAGGATCCAGGGAGATCACAGTTCAACTCCCGGTCAGGGCACCTGCCCAGGTTGTGGGCTCGATCCCCAGTTGGGGGCATGCAGGAGGCAGCCAATCAATGACAACTCTCTCATCATTGATGTTTCTATCTCTCTCCCTCCCTCTCCCTTCCTCTCTACAAAGTCAATAAAGATATATTAAAAAATAATAATAAAATTTTAAGGCAGAGACCCTACCTTAAAAAGTCATATAAAAAAATCCAATTCAGTAAGTCAACACTGTAAATTTTTAGATATCTTCTCTGTTGGAGAAAGACCCTACAGCAGATGATAGAAACTGTACAATACTACCTGGCATGTGAATAAAAACTTTAAAAATTTCAAAACACTTTTTCATATGCTAATGGACTTGATATGCCAGCCGAATGATGGCATCACAAGTGAAGCCATTAAAAACAGCAATCTCTTCATCCCCACTTTCTCTAAGAGCCAAGCCCATCTGTTAACCCATCAGGGATTCTTTTCCAAGTGTTTGTTTTCTTGTCTGTCTGTCCATCTGTGTGTGAGTGTGTGTGTGTGTGTGTGTGTGTGTGCGCGTGCGCGTATGTGTGTCCTGCTGCTCTCTGCAAATCTAAAACTTTAATTTGGCTCACTTACTGACTAAAAACCAAAACCAAAAGACTGCTTTTGTTCTACTCTCCATTATTTAACTACATACACACACACACGCGCACACACACACACACGTAATTTATTACCAAAAGGTCAGGGAAAAGAAAAGGGAAAATCAATCATATTCTACTACTTTATAACTTTTACACATCTCCTTTTATTTTTATAAGCATTATTATATAATCAGAGTACACCTCTATTTTTTTCTGTTTTTCAAACTTCACATTTTGACACGTTTATTTCTTAAAGGCTACAGTTTTATATTAATGGTTAAGCATGGGCTACACTGTCCAGTTGTGGCTGAACAGAACTCCTTCTCCATTCCCTTACTGCCAGCATACAAATTGGTTCTACAATATTTTTGTTTACTTGCTACTATGAATAGCATCTTCATGCTATAGCTTTGTTCGTATTTTAGAAACAATTCCTGGAAGGATTTTTAGGGCAAGGGGTATTAATATTTTTTATGACTTTTGATAATACTGACAAAGAGCTTTCTAAAAGGATTGGTAGAACTTAAAGTGCTTTTGTCAGTCTTTGCAGGATTATTAAACCTGAAAGGATAGCCAGTATGCATTAGTTTAGATTTCTCACCTCATGTTCACTTCTTTTTTATTTATTATAAATAATCTGGTTTCTTTTTCAAACAAACCCCTGAAGCTACTTTCTATTTCTTTTTAGCCCTTATCTTATTTGATCTCTGCAGAATTTACATTTTCCTCACTTCCTTCTTGAAATTAATCTCACTTTCACTATTTTTTTTTAACCCTTTCTACCCTGAGATGGATTCTTCTTCATCTCCCCAGCAGCCTCCTCCCTTTTCTACTTGCCTCCACAATGTTGGCTTCTCAAGTCTACCCACGACCTTCTTTTCTTATACAATCTCTCCCTGGATGGATCATTCATCCCTTCAACCTGACCTTTGCTTATTTGTAAATAACTATCCTTTACCTTGAGCTACAGATCTGCAGTTCCTCCAGTAACTGGACATCACCACATGGCTGCCAAGTCTCCTGCTCCTAGGCCTGTGGGTGATCTCCTGCTCATGCCACTGCTTTGTGCCGAGTCAGAAGGCAGAACCTTAGGATGGTTCTCCTGCCCCAATCCATTCTCCATCCTCACGTTCTGCCAGTCACCAAGTCCTGCTTATTCTCATGCAGAATAATTACATATGGTCTGATCCCTCCTCTTCATCTCCCTATTGCTTTAAAAATGTCATCTCTCAGGTGGATTACTGCAACTGTTTCATGACTGGCCTCCCTGCTTCTAGTCCATACTATTTGTAATTTATCTTCTGCATCAACAAATGTGCTCATATTACAACTTAGTTCAAAACCTTCAATAATTCTTGATTCTTTATCACAGTGATCTCTAAGCTCTTTTGAGCACATATATTTCTGACAGTAACAACTGGGAGCCCATCCCCTGATAGTATATACATTTATAAATTAACATGTACTTATAAAATTTTACATAGACTAGTTATATACATGTACTATAATACTAATATAATGAAACAAAAAAAATACAGAAGAATGACATAAGAACACACACACACACACACACACTTTCTAACATTTTGAAGGGCTGTCTTGTGCACCCTGTGAGGTAGGTACATAGCATAACTCTGGGGACCATAACTTTCTGAGGGTAAAACACAAATTCTTTAATACACTATTCACTGGGTCACACAGTACGATCCCAATTCTTTCCATTTCCTATCCACCACCTTATGTAACCATTCCTCCCCTTCAGTAGCCTGAAGATGCTAGCTACTTTTCCTACATAGCATATTTCACACTCTGCTCTTTGTCTGGAATGTCCTCCTCTACTTGAAAACTCCCACTTCTTCTTCAGGACCTAGCTGCAATGTTACCTCTTTTGTGAAACCCCTTTATCCCGTTCTCTTTGCTCATTCATACACTCCTGTGCGGTGACTACTGTCATTACCTCCCCGTCTCTCCTCCAGACTCCAGGCATGACCAAGGGCAGGGTCTATCTTTTTAGACCCACCAAAGTTGCTGACATAAAGTAATTAACAGGTGATATAAAAATAATAGTAATTCCTTTATCTAACTAATACACTGTGAAACCAGAACATAAACACAGAACAACACTGTTCTCCAGAGATTCCCAAATAGATCATTAAAATCTGAGCATATACAAATTGACGAAAGCTAAGTTTGGTTTAACTGGGCAAATAACTAACAAAAATGTAACCTAATAAGAAGATTTTTAAAAAGGACATCTGAATGCATTAGAAGCAGAGATTTTAAATGCTTAAGGCTTATATTGATAATAATTTAGATGATAGCTCCTATTTATTAGTTGCCAAGTGCCATGCACAGTGTTACGGATATTACACAGCAACCTCACCCTGTAGGCCTTTGATGGAAGCTCCTGTTGAAGTGCAAGTGCTTTAGTCAATCACAACTCTATTTCTCATCTAAGCGCTAACTTTGAGAGGCATTTAAACACTCATACACCAGCTGGCAAATTAGTTCTTATCTGCAAAATCATTTTCTAAAAGTCTTAAAATGATGAAATGTTAGAACTTGAAAAGAGCTCAGAACTCACTGAATCTAGGCTCCTTATTTTATAGCAGGGGAACTAATAAGGCCCACAGAAGTTAATTTATTAAATGTCACAAACTTGTGAGTGACAGAGTAGAGACTAGACCCTAGGTATCCTATCATGCTAGTGTATTTTCCTTGTTTTACCCACTGCTTGAAAACAAAAATCAACTTTTCTCATAGCCACTCAATCAGTACAAGCTAAATACTGATTATTCAAAGAGAAGCATTCATTCATACTTATATTAAACTCACTGACTTCCTAAATTTATTTTTCTACATATATTAATATACTATTTTATTTTTCAAGTTCCTAATATGCAAGTTTTAAAAAATTGAGTCTTAAGCAAAATACTTAACTAAAAATTACTCAGTTAGAATCATTAGTAAATATCTTTTTTTTATTTCAAAGAAACACTTATAATACCTGAATGTGCTCTTTTGTGATCAGCCAGGGTCGGTGTGCTAGCAGCTTATTTATTTCATTAAGATTTTTCAGTCTTTGTGGTACATATTCCAAACCATTCAACCACTCAGCGATACCTCCTGTCTTTAGAAATTCATCCACATGCATGTTTATTAAGTAGGAACACTGATGTCTAGCTGCAGCCTAAAACACAAAGAGTCAGTTGATAAAACAATCATGGTCAAGTCTTATTCTACTATTTCTAAACAAAAATATAGATGGAATGAATCATTTCTATAGCCAATAATTCTTTTCTTACAGAATCCTCCTCCTTCTAAAACTTCCATCACAATGATGCCAAAGATTCCTGAATCAATACACGGAGCTGATACTTGTATAAGCACATAAATTGTCACATGAAGCCCATTACTTCCTCATCTAGAAGGAAGCTAGCTCCTGGCTAACTCATCTAGAAGTTAGTACCAGTCAACCTAAAAGCCACTTTCTTGTTTTGTTAAGAAAATACACGTTTCTTCATTATGGTAAGTTACATCAACTGTATTCTACTTAAAGCAATCAAATCTCATTAACTTATATTCTACCAATTCAGAAGGCAGGTTAATTTTGGGTAATTCTCTTATTGCTTTTGGTATAACTGTGACATCGGTCTTATCTGTGCACATCACTCTAGCGAGAAGAAGCTGAAGATCACTGGCCCTTTCCTTCCTATGCAGCCAAAATCAGCCGTGATACCGACAATCTGGTAAATCCGCACAGAGCAAACTTGTCACCACCGCTCCTTTCCTCACCTCAGGGCTCCTTCTCACTAAAATAGTGTTGTTTTATTCTTTCTATTTTCTGTATCTTGTTTCTTTCTTAGTTTACAACCACTCTAGGTTGTAAACTTTCAGCCTGTCATCAAAACCTTAAGCTGAAGTTATATTAGTAGTCAAGTTCATCATTCAATAAAACACAGAATGCTGCCTTTTGTATTTGTTTAAAACTTCAGTGAGCACATAAACAAAATAATCGAATTAAACTTGGTAAACCTAATCTGCTAGCTCCTGGCTAACTCTGCTAGCTCTGCCAGCCCAGCTGGTCTAAATCTCCAAATATACAGCACATGCATCATGTTCTCATTCCTCTTTTTCTCGGGCGATAGTTCAACTGTAGCACTGCTTCTTTCTACCCTCCTCATTCCCGCTGTCTGTCAGCCCAATTCATAATTCTCTCCCCCCACAAACATTAGTTAGCGAACTAGTCCTCTTAGTTAGCCAAAATAGTCATTATTTTCATGTATAAAATGACTAAATAAAATGTTACAACCTGTTTTACATGAATAATAAAAACAAGGTATCAAGAGCAAAAACAAAACTTGTGGGATATTACTTTGGCCCCCTACAAGTATCTTTAATCACAAGAGATTAAATATGGAAAATGATTTTAGTGAAAGTTAAATGAGGAATTTTCAGTACATTAGGTGGTTTAAAGCATTCCGAATATACCCAAGGGACCTGGTATCCAAAAGGCCACAGACTTCTTCAATTCTCAGGTCTGTAAAATTATACTTAGCTCTACACACCCACTCATAATACTAGGAGGAAGGAGTGAGGGCAGTGTTACCATTATTGCGATGTAGTGCCTGTGTGGTAGAGGAAGGGGGCCGTCCATGCGCAGCATGTAGAACTGGCTCCGCAGGAAAGACTCCAGGTACTGAGTGTGCAGACTCATGACCTGGGTGATGTTGTCTAGACGACCGGATGTAGAGTATTCTTCCACAAGAAAGTTAGTACGTTCATCCACTGTGTTTGCTTGGGCAACCTTACAACCAAGAAACCCCAAACAAGATAATTATTGAGAAATAAACACATCCTTGTTTTACATAAATTATGCCATTATTGAAGCAAATGAATGTTCTTTTGATATTAACAGATGCTGGAATTACACAGTTGCTCATATGGGAAACAGAAGTAAAAAGAAAGCACCACTCATTTTTGGCTCTGGTACCACAATTTATTAAACAACAAATGTCAAATTATCAAACATTACACATACAGCTATGAAATCAGAGAAAAGAAGCTTCCATCTGCTTTGCCAGGAACATAAGGCACATTTTTCAGAGCCCACTTGCGTGGCCATTGTCACACCAATTTGTGGTGAGCCAAAAACAGTGGCATTTGATTACATACATTTATAATTTTATCTCAACAGCCTATGAAGATATTTAATCACATTATCTATAGATAAATATTTTCAGTCTGATTCTTTGCGTTTGTTATCTGACATTAAAAAGAGGCCTTCTGAAGTCTTTTTAGGGACAAAGGAAAATATGATAGTTTATAGGAAAGTGTTAATTGAAAAATTATTAACACCAGGATACTGTCATTTCTATTTTGAGCCTATTGTGTTAATTACAAAAAACAAGGTAAGTTATTAAAATGGACCTCCTCCATCCTAGGGAATCAACACAGCTCACTAAAAAATAAGTTATTTATATGTAATTTTATACATAATGACAGCTTGGGCATCACACCAAGAATTGGCTTGGAAGGTGTAAAGAGCTTATTAGCACCTTGTAGAAGGACCTAGCTCTGTGGGAATGAATAGACATGAGATGCTATTTCTAGTATTGGTTCATTATTTATTGACATTTTAGAATTAGAGTTCTAGACTTAAGAAGCATGTAATCCTTATATTAGCTTCAAGATTAAATTCAAACTCACGTACCTAGCTATTAGAGCCTGATCTGGAACCCAAATCTCCTAAAGGCCAGACTAAAGGTCTTTCCAAAGGTTCACACTGCTAATAAGAAACCCTATTCACTCTTTGGGGCTGACTCCACAGCCTCTTCTTAAAATAAGTTGTACAAAACATGCTACTGACTGAGAAAAATTTAATCCCAAAGAACATATAATGTTTGAAAAGTGTAAATTGCAAGGAAATATTAATTACAATGGTGGGGGAAAAAAGCAATTTCACTTTAGCTCACTATAAAGCCAAAATAGATGTTCATTTTCCCATTTTCTCAACTATAGGGACCAAGATGATTGTTAAAAATATAACAGAATCCAGGTAAAATACATATAATTAGGGATAGAATATTTGTTGGTTTTGTTCTGTTTTCCCCAGAAGTTTCTTCTGTTTAACTGATGCCTAACATATGTTAATAAATGATTCATATGGTGCAATAGATCCTGGAAACAGTGGTGACTTCTGCAAATCAGATTATCTTCAAATACATACTGAGAAAACAATTGTTTCAGGAAGGCTTTATATATATTCCCTAAGCTATATGAGGGAACTAGGTGCTAGCACAGCAGTTTCTCTAATGTATGGTCACCACCTAGATCAGCTATAGTCACTGAGCTCCCAAAACATTACTGTTAACTTTCATTTAAATTGCAAGGTCACTAAAAAAGTGAAATGAAGGTGAAGGAACTGCTGACCTTGGCAATGACCTGGCATGTCTTATTTGAATTCTACTCATCCCTTCTTTTAAGACAATGTCTGGCACATAATAGATGCTCTATAAATATTTATTGACTAATTTCAGAACAATATGGGAATTATGTTGGTGCTTTAAGATAAATGCTATCTTTACAATTCACGGTGAATCAGTATACATTAACTGTATTCAATATGAGTTAGTAACCCCTTGAAGCAGAGACAAACTCCTTAATTAGTGGTTCCCAGACCTTTCCTAGCGCATGTGTATCTGAGAGGCATCTAGGAATCTAGAAGGTCCTGCACACTGCTGTGATCTTCAGAGATGCACACCCACATAACAGGCACAAATCTTGTGCTGATTTCAATCTCCTTTGTGTTATTTTACAACCTTTCTTTCTTGTGTTCACCACCTTGACTCCCCACCCTCACCAAAGGTACAGATTTTATCAGGGATTGTGTAACATTCTGTGCAATCAAGACTTAGAACCAAATGCAAAGAATAACTACTACTAATGTAATACCATGTTTTGTTTAACAACAGGTTTAATAAGGAAACTTAACAGGTTTAGTTGGGCAACTTACTTTTTCATTTCAAAATATTTTTCTTAACATTTATGTAACCTATAATCACCATGAAACAGGGGCCATTTTAATACTTAAAACCTTTGGATTAATATTAAATTTTATTACTGTTAGCAGCTTTGCTCAGAAAAGTTCTATTTAAAATCAAATACGCTAAAATTTAGATGTTTTAAATCTTGCTAATAATAACTATTATTTTAGGCAGATTATTACATACACAATCTTTTAACTGAACATTAAAGGAAAATATCTTTGTAGTTTTTCTGACATATAAGAAACAAGCAAAACACATCTTTACTTCTATATTAATAATGGAGATATTCTTTGATACAATTATTATTGATCGCTTTTACGTATTTTAAGACAGATAAACTTACTTCCTTCTCTGGAATAAAGGCACTTGGTCCTCTTGTCAAGGGTTGAGATACTCTAATTCTTTTATCCTGTTTTTAAAAGAAAAGTTTTATGTATTAATGATGACTTTCTAAGGAAAGTTAAATTGGTGCAAATTTATTGCTAAGGTACTAAAATAAATAGAATTATGTAAAATCAGAGTATTAGGTCTCAGGTCAACAAAACCCCACAGGGTCACCGTGTGACTAAGATGACAGGGCCAGCTCCCACCGCAGTGCTGGGTGTATGGCAGGCTTCCTCAGTCACCGTCAACAGCACCATAGATTTTTAGTCCATAGCTGACCTGACTGAAAACTATCAACCTCCATAATAAAATCCTATCTAATAGTATACTAGTACACTGTTAGACCTCAAATGGAAAGCTAAAGAAAAGGTTAATTCCAAAGAATTAAATCATAAGCAACTCCCCGAAGCAATGACCTAATCTATGTTTTTACTTTAAATAAAACAGGAATAATCATATCAAATATAAAGTTTTGAAGCTTTAAGTGAGAAAAATGCAAAACTTGGAGAAGTAGAGGTTAATTTAACCTAAGAAATGGGAAAATGCAACCATGCTTATTGTTACACTTGCTATTCTATTTAGTATTAACAACTGATAGATTGCCAATAATATGGTGATCTGTTAGTTTTTTTATGTTTTAAATTGTTTTGATAATTTTTGTAATTAAAAAATATTTTGGTGTCCCCATGTAAGTGTGATTATCTGTAAACCACAAAAATTCCTATCAGGGAATAACTTCCTTCTCCGTGGGCATGCTGAAGAGCAGGAACAGCCAGAGGATGGCTCTCAGGCTTGGAGGTCCATCTTAGCCAGGAGAGACAGGAGAAATGGCCACTTAATTTCCTATAATAAAAGTCATATTTTAAAGTTCTGAAAAAGAAGCCCTCCAAATAAAAATAGGGACTATGCCATGGTTTATAAAAATTATAAACACTGAGTGGGAAATTACAGAGCATGGGAACTGGATAAGAGCATATTAAGCTTTAGGTGCCACCAAGCCCTCTTTAGGAAGCTTCTAAACTGAAGAGGGAACTCCAATTGGCACCTTATCTGAAGATGGCAATATCTTTTCACATGACTTTTGTCTCCTGGCCACAGCTGACTAGAGCAGCGATTTTCAACCCTTTTTTTTTTTTTTTTATCTTTTTTATCTCATAGCACACATAAACTAATTACTAAAATTCTGTGGCACACCGAAAAATGTTATATTTTTTGCTGATCTGACAAAAAATAGGTATAATTTTGATTCATTCACACTGAACAGCTATTGTTGTGTTGGCTGTTGTCACTTTTTAAATTTGACAATCCAGGGGGAAAGAGGTTAGTGCCCCTGACTAAATAGTCAGGTATTGCATGTTTTAAAGTTAGACACAGAGGTTGAAAATCGCTGGCCCAGACCAATAAACACAGTAGTTTATCTGCAGCCCATGGGTGCCCTGATGAAAAAGTTCTGCCTAAAGAGAGTTGAGGGTTATTAGCTGGAGCAGTAAGGTTCTAGAATTCTAGAAGTAACTCTAGAGTACGGGAGTTGTATGACAGTAACGTAACCTGATGGAGAGAAGAGAAAGAAACACTCAGAAGCAGAAGCAAGAAGAGAACCATGAAGAGGCTTCAGAGTGTGCCGAGCATCACGGAAGCCTGCTTGCTACGGGGAAAACCACTAGTTTCTATGGATTCATTAGAGAAAGTAAAAGCCTAATCATGGCTCTCTTCTCTCCCTTCCTCCCACCTTTCCTCATCCTCCTTTCTCTATGAACAAAGTAATCTGAGTCTTTTTGCTCCTTACAAAGGGCCTACCAAACACAAAATAGTTGCTTAACTCCCTTACTTTTTTAGGAAGCAGTCACAAAACAAGTTGGCAAAAGTAGGCATTCGATGATTTTTTAAAGAGCCTAATCAGATCTCCAATAGACACAGGGTGAACAAAACAGATATGGTCCCTGACCTTATGAGCTTGGCACAAAATCATCATCAATATTCAGGGTTCTATCGAAATAAATATATCAAATAATGACCATCTTAAACTGCTAAATTTACAGAAAGAACTAGGGATCTACATTATATGTATAAAGTGATGACAAATATATCTCAATTTACTGGCCAAGTACACTAGAGGACTCCATGTAAAAATTAGGTAATTTCAAATTTCTAATATTGGCATTTTTTGCCTACATCAACCATAATGGGTATTTTTTCCACTGCTTTTCAGAGAGACTGGAAAGGAAAGAGGAAGGAAGAGAGGGAGGGAGGAAGGGAAGGAGGGAGGGAAGGAGGAAGGAAGGAGGGGAGAGAGAGGGGGAGGCATCAATATGTGACACATTGACTGGTTGCCTCCTGCACTGCACCCTGAACCGGGCCGGGGATCAAGCCTGCAACCTCTGCAATCGAGGTACGTGTCCTTGACTGGAATCGAACCTGTGACCTGCGACCCTTCAGTCTGCAGGCTGATGCTCTAACCACTGAACAAAACCGGCTAGGGCTCCTTTCCTCAGCTTCTATTTCAAATCCAAAATGCTTAAGGACTGAATTCGTACTTCATTCATACCCTAATTAACTTTTCTGAAGTCTCTAGGCCTGTGTTGCCTTATATGGTTGCCATCAACCACATCTGACTAAATTTAAATGAATTAAAATGAAATAAAGTTAAAAACGCAGTTTCTTAATCATGATCACAATTCAAGTGTCCAACAGCCACATGTGGCTATGGCTACTGTATGGGAGAGTGCAGACATTTCCATCTGCCATTGCAGAGCTTCTACCAGATAGAGCTGCTCTAGACTCATTTTTTTANAAAGTTAAAAACGCAGTTTCTTAATCATGATCACAATTCAAGTGTCCAACAGCCACATGTGGCTATGGCTACTGTATGGGAGAGTGCAGACATTTCCATCTGCCATTGCAGAGCTTCTACCAGATAGAGCTGCTCTAGACTCATTTGATTTTTTTAAAAATCACATCTTCATTCATTTTAATGCCTTTCTGAAATGTTAAATGACTGCTCTGCAGAGTTATTGCTTTGATGATTACTCCTACTCAATCCCATAAGCAAGCATTTTAATGTAATTGCAGAAATCCTCTAAACCAAACTAAGAGTGAATCCAGATAGAAGCAATGCAGGAAAAAGAAAAAGGAAAAAAAAAAAAATCTGTTCCAAAGAATCCTTGTCTCAATTTCTGCTCACATTACAGTCTCCAGAAAAATATCAGAATCTGTTTTTCTCTTTCTTCCCCTTTTTAAAAATTATGGTAAAAACACATAAATCTACCCTTAACAATTCAGTGTACAGTACAGTATTCTTAGCTGTAAGCACAGTGTTGTACAACAGATGTTTAGGTCCTTTTCATCTTCCTAACTGCAACTTTATACCACTGAACAACAACTCATTTCCCTCAGCCCTCAGCCCTTGACAACCACTACTTCCTGCTCTTTATGTAAGCACACTCTTCAGATCCCAGCGCGGAGGCTGTGTAATCACCAGCCTTCTTCACCTCCCTGCACAATTCAGATCTGCCTCTTTCTGTGCAACTCTCTCCTTGCTAGGCTTCCATGACACCGAACCACTCAATCCACTTCTTTGTCCACTTTGACACTTTTCCTAGATGCTCCCTACATTTCTTTCATCAATAGGCACTCTCTCAAGTGAGTGTTTCTTTCATGGCTTACATCTTTTTTGCACAAACAAAATTCTACTGGATTGTGTGACAGTCTCTATATTGAGGGAAGATGGTAGAGTGGGAAAAGTAGAAAAAAGGGCATGTGATAAGAAAATAAGCAAGCTGTGCAACTGACTCCTCCATCTTTAACATCCACCTAGGAACTGTCTTCTTAGTCCTTCAGTCTGGCTTTGGACATTCTGAAGAGCCTGTGACATCATCTGTTTGTAATATTAGCACCTTCAAGTCAACATGTTTAAAATTAATCTGCTACCCAAAACCAGCTGTTCCTGCTCACGTTCCTCTATAAGTTATAAAATATACACACACCCCAGTAACCGTGGCTCGGATTTATAGCTATCTTTGACTCTATCCTATGAGTCTGTATTCATACAGTTGCCAAATCCTATCATTGCTTTTTTCCAATTAAATCTTTGTCATCCTTTCAACAGACCCTTCAACTCTAAGAGTTTCTCTCAGGCTGAGAAATAGTTTCCCCTCACAACTGAGAATAACATCAGTTCTAGGTTTTGGCTTTCCCTCTTGTGAGGAGGTTTGAGAAGAAAACATGTAAGAATGTAAAAAATCCAAAGCATAATACAAAATAAGGTTTTATTTTTATTTTTCCCCTGCCAATTTTCCCTAATGTAAAACAAAACACCTCAAACTGGAATAGCTATATTTTCTCAACAGATGCTACTCTAACAGAATAACTGAAGGGTTGTTCTAGAAGTGAAATAACCTGCAGCTGCACTGATTCTAAGAACAAGACTGCCATATTTTTCTCTCATAGGTATAAAGCTAGTATCTCATTCTGGGGAACAAAGGACTTTGATCATACTAGTGAATCTTGTACAGTGGCTTTTAAATCATAAGCCTTGTTTTGTTTCTATGAAAATCCAAAACCAACAAATAAGTTCTTGAGGGGTTTTTAGCTTGCACAGTCCATTCCGGCAGCCACTAGTCACAAGTGGCTATTTAAATTTAAATTAACATTGAAGTTAAAAATTTAGTGGCTCAGTTGCACTAGTCATATTTCAAGGGTGCCATAGCCACATGTGGCTAATGGGTACCATGATGGACAATGCAAATCTAGGATTTTTCTATCACCGCCAAAGGTTCTATGGTACAACATTGCTCCACAGCCACTAGTCCTGATTCCAGCTACTGGGATGATGCAAAGATACAAAACGATTAAAAATTTGAGACTGAACATAAGCATAATAAACATGTATGAAGTTAACTTCATAGATATAAAAATTGATTTGGGTGTTAAAACTAAAAAACCAATAAAACAAACATTAACTACAATGGCAAGTTGTAGAAGATACCATTCTTCAGAGTCTTAATCTGATGACAATGTTCAAATAAC